TGTGCATCTTCTATTTTGTTTGCTTTGTCATAGCCTTATCCGATACGTAATATTGGAAAATCAGTATATGCCAACCAGAATTATTACTGAATTCAATCACGGGTGGTTTTATTAGAGTGCGTTTGAGAATTTGGTTACAACATGTGCACCTTTGTAACGATTAGTGCGTGTGTTGCCCTTTGCGTGTAGCAACCACTGCATCATTTTTACGTAGGGGTTCATAAGTTGGTGCTGTGGCTGTAGAGCTTTGTAGCGTTCTTGGGTTTAGCTGTTGATAATGTTCTTGATTTGGGYTCCTTGCGTCGGTAGGCAATGCCGTTTTATTGGACTTTTGGTTGGTTGTCAATGAAGGACTTGATGAGGATGCCAAGTGACCCATTCCAATGGCATCTGAATTCTGTGCAATTATTTTGTGTGTATTTCATTAGGCTAAACACATATGAAGAAAATCCAAAATTCTGGTTCTTAAAATATTTCTATTGGAAAGAGACAATGAGAGGAGTGAGCGGATCCTCATAATAGACGCGGTCGTTCCTCGCGGTTTCATTCCAGCACGCTCTACGTTCTTGTCCAGTTTCATTGTTATTTATTTATTTTTTTTTTAATTTAGCAAATTATCTCTAAAAAAAATCAAGATAGTACTTACTTCATACACTACTTCTTTTTGTCTGAAAAAAAAAAAAATGAAATGACTTTTTACTCTACTTAAGTACCAGTTCTAAAGTCTCTTGATATCGTTGACATTACATACTTTTTATACTTTGTTTTAAAAATTCCTCTTTTCCAATGTTGATTACTTACTCTTGTAGTTTTGAGTTTTGTGAGGTCGTCCTCCTATGTTTCAATATCATGAAGGCTAAGTGTATGACAATGGTTATCAACGAAAGAGCCAACGCGGCCAGTACACCAACTTTAGTACTGCCTAGAATGTATATTAAAGGGAGAGTTAATAAAAAAAGTTGTTTCAGTCTTCAGTACATTGCATAGGAAATCGTGTGAACTGGTAATTATAAAACCGATAGAATACTCAAGTGTTACGTCACAAAAATACTCTATTTCGAATTTTTCGTATTTTTGAAATATCCTTGAAGCACATGGAAAAGCTAGTTAAAGTAAAGTTAAAGTAGCTATCTACCAAATTTCAGTGTCCAAGTACAATTTATAACGGAGGTACAAGCGATTGTATGGTCGGGTGACTATATATGTTTGTATGTGGTCACCCGACCATAAATTCGCTTGTATCTCGGCTATATTGACACTAAGACACTCATATTTAACAAGGATGCATTATAAATGATGCACTTTCATAATATGGAGGGCAAATTTAACAACTCAAAAAATTTCGTTTTGTGACGTCATAACTTTAGTCTCTCTTGACCAAAGTTTTATTAGGGATAATGCTTCCTCCTGGCTTCCTCAAAAGACGTTCGGAGGGGGAATCTTACAATTATCTTGCGTTGAAACAGGGCTTGGCTTGCTTTTCGTTTCTGTATTAGAAATATATAAAATCATATATAAGCAAAATCATGCATAAGTATATATAGAGTTTGTTGAAGAACGCCGAACGTTCTAATATAAAAAATAAATTGATGTTCTAATTTGTATTACGTTTATTCTACTTATATAATATATTTGCACTTACTTTATTTGCAGAAATTATAAATTTTGGACAGAGACTTATAATTAACATTCTGCCGTTTTTATCAGAAATATCAATTTACCATGTTTAGTTGTGTTGAACACTTTGACAGAGGTATCACCATATCCTGCAATATTTCCAGCCAGTACTGTAATTTTGTACTCGGTTTGTTCCTGTAGACCTGTGATTTTTTGATAGCCCAGTATTTTTGATGAATTGACGTACCATGTCTTAGAATTGATCAGAAGTTTGTAACTATTGACTGGAGTTCCGCCATTGCTCAACGATCTTGTCCAGATAATCATGACGGATGATGGTTGTATACCTACCACATCAATGACTGGTGGACCAGGAGAAACTTCAGAACACAAAATTATTTATTGAATAAGTTCCTGATTATCATTTCTTTTTCCAAAAGAAAATATATGAAAATATTCAATAAAAGTCATAACATTAACTCACAGAGACGAGTAACGGATATGTTATGCCAGTCAATCCCAGCAATATTTGTTGCTTTACATCTATACATCCCATAGTCATCGTTTTCTTGTCCTGTCAGTACTCTCACCTCACTACCATTAGGAATGGTAACTACTTTGATGATGCGGTCACCGTTGGGTTTATACCATTTCCAGGTTGGATTTGGACGTGAACTGGACCATTTACACCTGAGGGTTATCGTGTTACCAGCCCAGGATGTGATGTTATTTGTAGACGAATCTCGTCTAATCGTTGGTTTATCTAAACAAAAACGATGAGATAATTTAAAGGTAAATCAATGTTTTCGTTAGTAGTCATCAAGTATAAAAGAATATCCTCTCATTAGCTAGAATATCAAATATTAGCTCTAGTAGTAGCACACACTGAAATGAGATTATCTCATTTGTAAGGATTCTAAACATTCTAATATGAAAATGACCGATATTCGGAAGTTTGGTTGTAGCATAAACATTCATATTTTAGCTTTATTATTCTAATGAAAGTTCAGGAGAATATATGGGATATCAAATAAAATAAACGATATTGATTGCCTACTCAAGTATTGATTAGTGCTTACGTTATAGTAAAAGTGAATGTTTTTGAGAGGGCCTCAGTGTTAGCTCATTACTTACAATAGACGGTAACTATACTTGTAGCGATAACGGGAATCTCGTTTGGGTTATTCACTGCCTGGCACTCGTATGCCCCACTCTGCCTTCTGTTTATATTACGTATCAGAAGTACTACACTCCCTAGACCTTTGCTAAGGGAGGTAGAATCACTAACTTGCATCCACGTGACATTTGGTGTCGGAGTGCCAACCGCCGTACAGGTGAAGCTCAAGTCTGAGTACTCGAAAGCAATCTCTTTTGAATGAGGTATGGAAGTAAATCTTGGAGTTTCTATCGATAAAAACAAACAAACAAAAAACATACTATTTAATAAAAGTAGCAGGCTTCTGAAATATAAAGATAATCTATACATCTCAAATGAAGATAATAAGAAAACAGTACAATAAAATAAACATAATCAGGGAAATAAAATTGTGATCCGACGATTAAGAATAAAAACAAGAAATAAGAAATTAATTCAAAGAATAAAGAAAGTCGGCCGAATAAGATTTACTGGAGAGATACTTAGATTCATTTACCAGTGACAATCAGTTGTGCAAGGCTTGTTAATATCGGACCTATTGTTAATCTTAGTCCACATCCATATGTACCAGAATCCGCCAGGGTTACATTAGTGATGACCAAAGTAGCATTACCTTCCAACCACACTTTATTTTGTAATCGAGATGGGCATGAGCTCTTTGCAACCATAAATTTCCATCCAATAAAACCATTGCAAAACCCAATTACGAAACTGGAGTTATGAAAATACCAAATTGGTGATAGAGAATCAAACTCTCTGTCACGATCATTAACAAAGTAGTCCCACGCAAACGTAGCAGCTCTTCCTTCACGAACATACAGTGTGTCGTCAGGATGTTTTGTAAATCGAGCCGACACTGCATCTGCAGTAGAAGAAAATAAAACTTTAGATATTAGAGCAAGCAGCTCCTAAAATTTTAAGAAAATTCTAGACATGATAGCACAGCGATAGGATAGAAAGCAAATTTGATAGAAGTACGAGCTTAGAAAATAATATTTGTGAATTTAATATAACATTGTTGATCCGGAAACTACGTCCTAGAAAGAAATACATTCCAAGTGAATTAGTCTCTGTTGTTTTGGTTAAACCAATCCCTTCAAGAATGTTAAAACAAAAGACAAATTCTCTATATAATGATACTGCATAGTACATAAAATAGGCTTCGATAAGAAAAA